AATGTCTCTATTTTAAAAAAAAATTACTGCCCATTGCGGTGTAATATTCTCCTTCAAACTAAAGTTTAGGTTCAGGGGAAAACATACTCGCCAATCTTGGCTCTTACACACAAAAAGAATGTGCAAATGCCTCCTGAAGTTGATCACTTAGGAGACTCTCCATCTTGCCTCCTGCAATTACCCTTTGCCCCCCTCCTCCCACAGCTATTTTTTCCTGAGCTAGTAAGTTTTACCATCCTTCAAACGCTAGTGTTCCCACTCTTGTTGCCCATCGGGTTTGCTGAACTGGACCTGGCAGAAATCAGTAATCTGTGGAGGGCTGAGTCTAAGCACTAACATTTACAGAGGATCTGCAATGAGAAGATTAGCAAACCATGAGAAGATTAGTAAGCTATCAAATAGGTTTTCCACTTCAACTTTGGAGGAGGGAAATGAGCCAGCAGAGAGGGGGTTATTCCTGTCAGTCAATGAAGGATTGAACGAGGGTTCGTCAACTCAACAAGCAGTTCACTTGTCTTTCTTTCAAGATGCACAGAGTGACAGTGATCTCACAGTGCCCTTCAGGAGCTTTTTTTGTCACAGGATTTGCTCAGCTGTCATTCAACCCCCACGTTCTGGTCTGTCGCAAATGTGCTGATGCCTGGGCAGCAATGGCACTCAGAAAGAGACTGCCTGACGTAGAAATAAAAGTTTTACGTCTTCGAGGTTACCCCCTGGATGGAGAGACTGTTTTGGAGTCCTGACTCACGGAACATATGTGGCAGCGGGAGAATCTTTGAAACATGTGTCACATGTAGCAGCAACTAACAGCCTAAATTGAAGTCACTCCAGTTGGGCACAAAGGCCACTTTAGGAGGAGCTTGACTGTTTATATAGGTTTCAGATGACTTCATTTTTTAAAAGTCCATGGAATTCGTCCAAAGCAATTAATATTTTTTTTTCTGTCTTGAATGGGAAGACCAAAAGGAAAAGTCTGGAGAAAGGAGGATAGATGGTCTTTCTTTAATGTCAAAGCTGACATAAACACATCTCCTCCAAACCCTTCTCACAAGATAATTTTCTCAGCAAGACACAGATTGCTTCAATCTCTGTGTAGCAGCCTTTGAAGCTTCTCCCTTATTGCTATTACAGAGGAGGGAGGGTTGTCTCTGAGAATTTCTACAGCAGTGAAATGTGCCTCCTCCAAATGCCTTCACTCGATGAGATAGTTGGTTGCCCTAAGGAACATGTCTCTTTAGAACTTCTCTGCCATAACACAAAGACAATCTGACAGCTAGATATGTCACTGTTTTGCAAAGTATTGAAATCCAAAAAACTGAAAAGTCTTAATGAAAAAAAATAGTCTGACCAGTTCTATGAATCTTCAGTTTTCATTAGACGGAGGCCCAGCTAAGGAGATGATGAATAGTGTTGGAGAGGAGCCACCAATTAGGAGACATCAATTTTTCTGTCAACAGGATAACCCCTTCTACAAAGCTTTTCATATGTTTATTCCTTTCTGTTTGTGAACATATTTGTTTGGCAGGGATATTTTGCGTGCAGGGAAGAATTTACCATTTTTTTAAGGATGTCACTGCTGCACTGTTTTTCAAGTCCAGTTTTGTGGGATATTTTCTGGCTTCAGAGTTCTTGTTCTTCAGTCCATCTGCTCTTACATTTACCGTATTTTGGGGGAGGCAAAAGAAAAGAAAAAGCCAGGAGTCTCCTTGCTTCTGCAGTGAGTTCTGGGGGAACACTTCAATGTGAGTAGGCTCTTGGAGGCATCAGGAAATGCCTTCAGGTTGCAGAGTTAAGAATGCTATGATATGTGGACAGTTTATCAAAGGGGAGAGAAAGTATTTTAAGCATTTCTTTCTTAAAAAATTATGCCTCCTCTGTTTGTATCCTAAAAGTTTCCTGTACATTTAGTAGTTTAAGATATAACCAAAGACATATGGACTTTTTCCAATTTACACACTTTCCATTCCGTACAATTCCATATGATTCCATACTGAAAACTTGATAGCTTCCACAGCTCCTTTTACTAAATAAGAAATTTTAATCCCTTTGCTTACAGGAAACTTTATATATCTTTTATTCATCTTCATACGGTGATTCACAGCTGCTGCTGTATTTCTTAATAACTAATTGCAGGGCATTTTACGAAATTAGTAGTAGTAAATGCTTAGCGGATACTAGAAGAGGAAATAATGCATGGGCATACATGTAATGTGCCGAGAGGAAGAGTATATCTGTGTGTGTTGTGATATTTGGCAAGAGACAAAATGAGAGGGACAGATATCTCGTGGAATGTCAAATGGGCACTGGTAGATGTTGACATGACCTCAAAGCCTATCAGGTTCTTATGTGGGAGCTGAGCTTCAAGGAATAGAGCCTATGATGATGGTTTTTGAGGGGTGGCTGAAAAGTTACAGCTGTGTAATGAGAATCTACTGGGCCACCTGTGTTGTGGGTGGTGGGAGACTTGGCAAGGAACAATTAAGAAGTAGAAGGTCGTTATATAAATGATATGTGCCCAGCCCGTTAGTCGTAAATCAAGTGTGCAAGCTCTTAATAATTGGGTATCAGGTCACGTCGCTCCGTGCTGAGACAGCAGCTGTGTTGAACGTGCATGTTAATGAGTGCTTTTTCTTCTGTGCTGGATGCTAGTAATCTACTAGATATGTGTATTGTAGGCCTTGTTATGACTCCACTTAAGCCACGGTCAGCAAGTGGTCTGAAGCACTCATCACAGTTTTGAAACTAGACACAGTAGTAGTCATCTTGTTGCCTTTAATGTGAGAGGGATCAGGCTTTGAGCAGATCCTTAGTGGTAACCATGCTTTTAGGCAAAGGTTAGGGTGGACTGTGGCACTCTAACCTGCAACGTGTTAATTTCTTTTTTAAAGAACTTTATGCTGCGAAACACTTGTGTTCCACAAAATCTTGCAGCTTGTCTTCTGGGCAGAGTTTCTGCATTTTGAAGTGATGTGAGACTGAATCTGGCTTACCTGAGTGAACATCTCCTGCCTGAGATGAACTGCTGCTGTTGCTCACAATAAAATGCAGGAATAGCTGTTGACATGGAAGATGGGCAACTACTGACAACCTGTTCCTTGCCTATAAACAACTTTGTGTTTAGGGTAAAATGTTCTGAAGTCCCTAATTAATTTAGGATCCCTTCCAATTATTTTCAGGCCCTGGAATGATATGAAGGTTTTTTCAAAGTGTTATTCTCTCTCTGATTTTCGCAGTGTCATCTGTCACAAGGATGCAATAGCATATTTTCTTCTCACTTGTTCCTCTTTTCCAGGTTGGCCTTCCTTCTATGATGTGATCAGTCCTGATGTAGTTACTTTCGCTGATGATTTCTCCTACGGGATGCACAGAATTGAAATATCCTGCAGTCAGGTTGGTTTATAGCACATACACACCATTCTGACGGCAAGGGCTGCAAAAATCATTACTGTGCGCTGTACTTTCTCTAAGATTTGCAAACTTTTCAGTTCCATTAAATAGTAATCATTACAAGAGAGCACAATGGATTGTAGATACAGCAGCTGGGTGGAAGGAGCTAAAAGCACAAAGGGCTCATTGGAGTGCACATTGTTGTAAATGGTTGGATTCAGTGCTGAGTCTGCAAAGATTGTCTTCCCAAAAGGGGTCTCTTCAAAGGAACCTCCCGGAAGAGCCTTGCCAAGGCACCTGGATACGTGGAGCGCCGAGGTGGCGGGGAAGGCGCTGGGGCGACCGTGTGTGCTGATTCCATCACTGCGCATTACTGTGCCGTGGGGCTAACTTGTTCCCAACGCTCATTCCCAGGGCATTCCTAATGGTTGCTTCTAACAATCCCATCTGCCTTGATAATGAAGCCAGTAGCCTTTCAAAACAACCCCAAATTTTCCGTTATCTGTCTCGTTCTACTTCCTTTCATCCTTTGTGCTGCCCTCCTCTCTGCAAAGGGAGCAGCATAGTCATTACCTAGCAAAGGGGGAAGCTGCTGCGTTGGGGTTGGACAATCACATGCAGCAGCTGGTGATCCTCGATGTCCCTGTGCTCAAAGTCTTCCTGAAAGAAGCAGCGGCTTCATTTGGGCTGTGAGAATTTGCTGCTCTGTTTCCAGACAGAATTGTTGGTAGGGTAAATGATTTCTCCACTGATGTTACACACACTCACTATTCACTGAGTTGTCCTGTGTAAGCATTCAGAGCGAGTTAAGAAGCTTCCCCAAAAGAGACAGGATTGTCTTTATGGAGAATCCATTAACCGCTCTGCCTGGGTAGAAGTTTTGACCCTATACATTTATGGCCAACCGGCACGTCTGCTAGTATCTCATGTCTGTTAGGTAATTGTATTGCTTTTACATTGATGACAATATTTAGAAGATTCATTTAATACTTTTTTGAAATACCCATTTCCCTAAATTCCGTAGCAAAGTTGCAATGTGACCACAGGTTGAGAATTTCTCACTTTTCCAGTGGTTACTGGAATCAAAAATTGAACTACTTTCCTCAGCTCTGCTTGGTAAGGCTGAGCAATGCTGAAGTCAGTGCACTGACAGTCTGCTGAACAGGCCGTAGCCGATGACTCTCTTCAGGAGATGACTGGAGTTCTTGGGTTCACCTTAGTGAAGCCCAGGGAAGCCTGTGATCAGGCCAAGGAATCTGGGAATGTCATTTACCTTTGGTCAAAATGAATAGTGCTAGCAGACCTGCTGAGACCAGGAGTATTAACAGCAATCACACACAGACGCTGTAAACTTAAAGCAAAACCAAAGTCTGAATTCACAGCAAAGAGAAAAAAAAATATGACCAAAGTTTGTAGACGATCCAATGGCAGCCTCATATCAGTTATGCCAACTTCCTAGCAGAGTAACCCCACAGGTGATCAAGTCACGCAGGAAAATAACTTGAGGAGTGGTGGACATCTTTGCACACACTGCTCAGCACAGTTAATAGCATCACATTGTGTATCCATAATTAATAAAACCATTTCCTCCCCTCCTCTGAGCCCTAGGAGTGGGAATCACACATGCAGCTGCAAAAGGAGCACAGTTTTACTGCAGCCTGGAAATGCAGTGGGGTTGATATGACTGGCCTTGGTCAGACTGAGGGGAAATACCCTCTCCCACACCCAAAACCTCATTAATATTTTTCAGATGAAATTGTAGTTGCTTTTTCTTCAAATGTCCTCCCACCTGCTAGAGAGAGTTAAAAAACTTTCTTTTAAAGTTCTCCCGTGTAGAGAATAAACACTAGGTAAAAAATGCTGTAATATAGAACAGAGACATCCACAGAAAGAAAAGACTTTTATGAGTTTTTTTGGAAATACATCAGCATAGAAATATTTAAAAGATCAATGATTAGTGACGGGTAAAAGTTAATTGTACATGCATTTGAGGAATAGTCTAAAACTGGTTGCATCTCTCTTTCCTCTTTCCCATTCAAGAGTGCCTCCCCTCGAGGTCTCCCTAGCTGTTATTTGTACCTGCAAAAATCAATTAAATTCTATAGTCTCAAAATATTGTTTGCACATCGATAGCTTGGAATAAGATACAGCAGCTGATTGCAGGCTGCTCCCCATGGCTCACGGCAGCGTATTAGAACCGGGAGCCTCGAGAGATCCAAGCATTCTGACGGGTAGCAGTGACCCCCCTGCCTTTCCTGCTCCCAAACACATATTTCAGATGCTTTACTCTAAGCATTTCATCATCCCGGTGCGTTCTCTCCTCTCTATGTATGTGTATATATGTACAGAGCTGCTGCAGATTGTTTCTTTTTGGGAGACTTTACAGACATTTATATATGGCCCAGAGAAATGGCCGGCACCTCTGGGTAATGTGTGGGGAGGACATTTACATCGATTCTTCCTTTGTACTCTCTGCTGAGGGCAGGGTCCTTGCGCTGTGTTACAAAGGGCTGAATTACATTTCTTTCAGGGCAGATGACTTATGGAGTTCTCTACAGAGAGCATCTCCACATAAATTTTTAGTGAGGGATAGTCTCAAAAGGTAACAAATTTTGCAGTAATCCAATCCTGGTGTGATTCTGCCATCACAAGGAGGTGTAATGGGACTACTTTGAACAGCTTTGCAGATTTTGTGGGGAAAATCTTTTTGATAGATTGCCTTCGTAGTTGATGTGTTTGTGAGTGTTGCTCCCAGAGACTGTTTCTCTTGACAGTTTTTCTTGTGTTCCATTTCCATCGATTGGAGAGGAAATAATTATGTCTGTGTAGATGTTAATCTGAAAAAGATCTGTTAAACACTTCTAGCCGGGAGGTTTTGGAGCGGTCTTGGTTGAGATGATTTAATTAGGTTAGAAAAATAATTTTTTCTGGGACACTAAGTTTTGGGGGGTTTTTTGTTTTTTGGGGTTTTTTTTGAGAAATAGAAAGTCTCTAATCAGGAGAAATGCCTCTTTGTGAGAGACTCCAGTCTTAGAAACACCTCAGGTCTCCTGAAGAAGTCCCTCAGTCTCAAGGACAAGGAAATAAAGAAAATAAGAGGTGCTGAGGAAAGAAAAGTGTGCCAAGGCAGCCGTCTTTCAGGGGCAAGCCTTCAAGCAGGGGCATCAGTATTTCTCATGCAACTTCCCCTTGCCTGTTCCTGCTCACCCAGTATTTTTCTCCTCCTAACAAAGCCGAGCAGCTACTTCGTAGCCCGGCACCGTTCCCGGAGCTCTGGCCTCTCTGCAGGCAGCGTGGGCTTCGGGGGCTGCTGGTGCTCCCACTCCTGCAGCCCCCGGCATTTAGTGCTTTGCTGCCTGGATTCAGTAAGGAAAGGGTTTCTGTCCCTCCTCCTCGTGCGAGAGCCTCCTGCAAACCTTGATAGACCTGGCCCAGGACTTACCTGCTTGTGCAGACACCTTCTGGGTGCTGTGGTGAATGAAAGACCATAAGAGCAGGGTGACATTAACAGCATATTAACTGTGGCATAGAGAGCTGCCCTCAGAAGCTCATTCACAGTTCAGATTAACCAGTATTGCCTCTGTGCACACTTTGGAAACTATGAATTAATTAAACGTTGAGACTAAGTTGCAGTCCTTAATTTTTGCTGTCTGACTGTGAGTCCACTAACAGTTCTGTGATCTCAGTTACATCATTCCCCTTCTCACTGAGATCAGCTACTGACTTGAAAGGCCAAGGCTCTTTGGTAAAGCAGCATGACTTTCCTGCTCAGGATAAATATTGCTCCAGTGCAAAGTTTTATTTTTTTATTTCTCATGGCAGGCTGTAAAAAGGAACTTGCGGAATTTAAATGACTAATTATAAAAAGCACTTATTTTCCCGATAAGTTGTCAGCCGTAATGTGCAGTGATAGTAATCCCAATTTCTGAATTGGCCAACTGCATCAGCTTCTTCCAAATACTGTGCTCCTCTGTAGAGCAAGGGACCTGTTTGTAAATCACTCCGGGCTAGTAGTCATTCAGAGATACTTTATCTTTCTGTACTACAGGTGTTTTTTGGTCACTCCATACTACGAAAAGTAGTATGGGATCAGTAGTAGATGAGATCCATCCCCTCCTGGGGCAAGATGCAGAGGAGCGCCAAGAAGGAGCCTGATGCTCTTAGGTTTTGGGAAAACAACAAGCTATGGAAGGAGGAAGATAGGAGAGCGTGCTCCAAAGTGTATCCCTGCTGCCTTAGGTCCTTGTGGGGATTGCTGGGTGGTTTAATGTTTCTCTCCCGAGGAGGGTGGCAGATGGCCACAGGCTGAGGAATGCCTCGAACTAAGGTTTCCACTTTCCAGCGGGGCAATACTTATGGAGATAAGCGAGATGTAGGCAGTGCTGTCCTCACCACGCTGTTCTCAACTGAACTCCCATGTGAGATCATTGCAGCCGGGTGGCTTTTCAGAAATAACTGCCCAGATGGATATACGAAGTAGCACAACATGAACGGCAGGAAACTGGGGCTGGCTGTCCTAGGCCCCGATGGTGTCCCAGGTTTCCTGCATCGCTCCTGTGAAGGAAGCTTCCCATGCTAATCCCATGGGGAATGGCAAAGCAGACACGTCTGCGCTTCCTTGGAAGCAGCCGCGAGTCGCCGCTCCACGTGATGCCCCCACACTGTGCAGATGCCCTGTGATACCTTCTTGTTTTGTTTCAGTGCGGTGCTCACCTGGGGCATATTTTTGATGACGGACCTCGTCCAACTGGCAAACGCTACTGCGCAAACTCTGCTTCGTTGTCTTTCAAACCAGCAGACAAGAACAACGCCGGAGAAGGCAGCGGTAGCACCCGTCCTGCCCAAACAGGCAAGGCTGAGCTGTAGGACAAAGCAAGGCCTGCAGGAAGCTGTTTGGATCCCACACAGCTTGCAAGGAATGTTTTCTAAATTGCCTGCTATCCTTTATCCTAAGAATGTTTAAAAGCTTGAAACCATGTTGCACCATTCTTCTTAAATCCTCTTTTTTGAACTTGAGGCCTTGCTCGCCAGTGCATTTTACTATGTAACTGGATTTTAGAATGTGTTGACTGAATCCACACGTTTTCCTTTTCTTTTTTGGAAATTACTTTGGGGAATCCTTAAGTCAAGAGGCTTTGGCACCATTAGTTATTCATTTCTTCTAGTGCAGTGTTACTCTAGTTTGAACGATTTTCCTTTTCGTGAGGGAGATGGGAATTGTGGTTCTCATCGGTCTATAGGAAACTTCTGGGCATAAGAAAACCCTGACCTGCCAGCACGTCTATGCTTTGTTCTGACTTGCGAGGCATGCGGCCCTTGGTCATATGTATTCAACCATCTTCCAGGATCAACCGCACCCTGCAAAAACTTGTGCTTATCGCTGTTCCTTCCCAACGGAGAAAGATAGATGAGATGTAAAGCCCATTGTTGGCTAATTTACAGCCAAAATTTCAAGGCTGCGGTTGAACAGATGCAAACGTTGTCTCAGCATCTATTTTTCCCCTTTGTTCAGTATTTAAATCAAAATTTTAACTAGTAAGGCTCACTTACGCAGGTCACTAATGAGACTCTGTCTTTTTTTGTGAGGCCTGTTCTGCAACTGTGACTCAGATCTGAATTAAATTTCAAATCTGCAGGGGGTAATTATATAGACAAGTGCAAAGATAAACTTGAGAACTGAAGAAGATGGGGGATGACACTAGGCTCTTTATCTTGTTGGTCGCTACAAGGGTTCAGAAACATGACAGTTTTAGCTAACAGGGGGCTTAGGAATGCAGCAGAAAGCGGGACACCCTTCTGAAGTGTCCAATTTTAAATTTAAGCTGTCTGGACGTGTGATGCCTACGTGGCCCCAACCTTTATTTTGGGTAGCTACGGTGCGGGTCATGAGTGAGAGAGCTGATTTAACAAGTGAATATGGAGAAAAAAAAAAAAAAGGCTGGCAAAGCCCCAGAATTTTTCACATTGTGACCGTAGGCTGCCCCATAAGCTTTTTTTCAGAAATGCTCTTAGATTTTATTCAATAAAATACGTAATGATATAGTATTAGCTAACACCGCTTTGCCTTTAAGTGTTGAGTGACTTATCAGATATAGTATTTACTACTATTAACAAACTTTGTGACTGACATATTTGGATACAATTTTGTTTCCAGTAGGAGAAAAACAACAACTGATTTTAGTGGAAACAGGATTGAGGTTTTTATGTCAGTGATAATAAACAAATTAACCGAAGTACAAACATCCTTTAGTTAAAAACGAGCTACTCTAAAAGCGAACAGAATGGTCAAAATTGCCTTTTTTAGCGATATAAGGAAGGCATGAAAAATGCATACAATGCCTTAACATAGAATAGATGCAAATAAAGAGGTGAAATAGAGCTGAAACGTTTGGGCTCTGTGGAAGCGAGCCCCTCTTCGTGTGAGTATTCCCCCAGATGTCATGCAAGCAATTGCTCATCAGCAACAGGAAGGGTTGTGCAGACTGACCTTTGGTGTTTCAAGGCAGTCAAGTTTCTCCGGATCCCATTGCTTTTTCAGCAATTTCTTACAGGACTGCTCTTATTCCCTGCCTTTATTTAAAGAAAAGTGAGTTTTCTCTACCACATTTTCTGACATCAACATAAAAAGGCAGCATCTATAAAAATGTGGTACATAAATGTGGTTTAATTCCAGATTGCTGTTGGATTTAAAGTGTTATCAAATTTCAGTGAATTTTTGCCTTATGTTAAAGAAATATATTACTTAAACTTCAGTACGCAGTAATGTATGCTGTCCTGCAGGAGATTTATTTTTGCAGGATATGGAGTGCAATGAAATGAGTCAATATGGTGAGGTGTATGTGATCTCTGGGAGTTAGACCATTTAACATAGGAAATGCATTGTTCTCTCTTGTGCAAAATAGACCACAGCACAGCGCAGGGTAAGACAGATTTCCTTTTACTGCTCTTAGAAGATGCTAGTAAGGGCTGGTATTAAACACACCAAATAGAGTTCAGTCTGGTTATGGTCACAAGAGAGGAAAGTTGGGAGCTGAGCACAACGTAGAGAATATTTCTGTATGTTAAATTTTTGCACTTTCTAGATGCTTATAAATCTGAATGCAAATTATGTAGAAATAGCAAACTATATTTTATAATCTCTATTGTTACTTTAAATAGCATACCTTAAAATCTCATGTAAAAGTCACAAATTATTTATATATATTATATATATAAAAAATAATTTAGATCTGTGTTTTCATCATTTCTATAAAACATAAAATTGAGTTTCCGTAAAATTGAATAATTTTGGTTTCTGGAATTCTGTGGTTTTCAGGTTGAGGAACAAGGTGTTGGACTATGAGTGATAGCTACTTCATACCCACTGAAAACTGATGAAATTTTCTGATTTGCTTCACTGTATTTGCTGGAATGCAAGAGGAAGCAAAATTTAGCTGTAGGCATCTGTTTTTTCATTCATTTTTTTCTCTCCTCTTTGTTTCTTGCTTCCGCTCTGTCTTTTTTGAGTGTGTGGGGGGGAATGGAGCTAATTGCGGCTGTGTGTCCAAAAGACCATTATCATGGACTTCAAGCAGCTTGCCCCGAGCTGAAACAGCAAAACCTGCTGTGCAATTTTGTAATTATTACTGAACTGAAATGTACTTGGAAAGCAGCCATATTATATGATCTCTGAAACTTTGGGGTTTCAGAAAGTCCTGTGTGCATATAATAGCACAATTGAATACATATACTAAGAGAGAGAGAGGTAGAGGAATAATAAAAGAAAAAGATGTGGAAAGGGAAGTTCAGTAATAAAAGAATCACAGTCCAGAAATTGTACTCACAATCCAGGCTATTACAGACTTTTTTTTTTTTCCCCTCCTACAACCCCTTAAAACAGCATAAAAAACCCCAAATTGTTGCGAAATCCCATTATGAGTGAAATTTGCAGTAAAAATAATGTGTTCCGCAGGCAAAGGAGTGCTTTTCAGAACTTAATTGGATTTTCCTGAATATTCCATTAATGTCAGATTACAGCCTCATTTTAATCTAGAACTAGATATGAAAATAGATCTTGAACTAGCACAATGCTGATCCATACATTCTCCTTTCCAAAATGCAACCTCTTTCCTTTTCTTGGCAACTGTTTAATGCTAGGCTCTGTGTTTTGTAATGAGGTTTCATAAACTCCTTTTTTTCTTTGTCTTCGAACTATTATCAGAGGTCAGTTTTAGCAACAAAGTCCTGAGCGTGTTGGTAGTCGCTGACTTTCTAGAAAGGCAAAGAAGTTCACATCCTCACAGACAACATTCGGTACTTCAGCTGAAGGCTGGCCCCAAGTTGGCACTGGAATCTTTCTGAAAAATAAATCTTTCCTGAAAAGGAGAATTCTTTCAGTTCCGCTTCTGTGTATGTCTCTTTCTAATGTAAGAATTACTCGGAGTGTACATCAGAAATGAGTTACAAAGAAGATATATATTATTTTGGGAGTGTTTTCCAGATCCTTAAAGAATAAAAATAATAAAATAATTAGGTATGCATCAATTAAATCTGATATCCACTAATAGCAGGACTTGTAAGATTTGTTTCAAAATGAATTATTAAATAATGAACAAGAACCATCTTTCAAAAAGCATAGCAATAGGTTTTATTAACGAGCAGTGTTAACATAAGAAATGTAAAAAGATTAATGAGATATGAAATTTGTGATCTGTGACTATCAACAAAATGTTTGGCTTATTTTGAGGTAGTATTTCCTGGCTTCAGCTGTTACTTGCCATTTTCCAGCTTCTCTTGTGTAGGCTTTCGATCTTTGGGAAGGGTGTTCGTTGTTGCTAACCCTTGTTCTCCACCTTTTCCTTGGGTTGTGTCACTTAGTGAAGCAGATGTGTGTCCTGGGGGCCACAATTT